GTTAGTTGGTTCAATCGAACCAACTAAATCGATATAACCCTTACCCAACCCTAACCCGCTGCCGCTGCTGCTCCCGATCTCGCTGCTCGTCGCTCCTGCTCTCGCTGTCGCTGCTCGTCGTTGTCGCTACTCGCGCCTCCCGCGAGCCCTCCAGCTGCTCGCGCCTCTCGCGAGCCCAGTCGCGAGCCCTCCCGTTGCTCGCGCCTCCCGCGAGCCCTCCAGCTGCTCGCGCCTCCCGCGAGCCCAATCGCGAGCCCTCCCGCTGCTCGCCCCTCCCGCGAGCCCTCTCGCTGCTCGTGCCTCCCGCAAGCCTTCCCTCTGCTCGCGACTCCCGCTGCTCGCGCCTCCCGCTCCCTTTCCCTTTCCCGCCGCCGCTCGCCGCTGCTTCCTCGTTTCTCCGTCAGGCTCAGTATACAGTATACTCTTAATATTAAGTTTTGTTGAATCTTAATATATAATATAATTAATAATTATATTTATTAATTATATTATATATTTTTATATTTTAGCGCCTCGCTTCGCTCGGGCGAGCGCCTAGCGCCTTGGGCGTTTTTGGACCTTGGTGCCTTTTGGCGCCTAGCGCTTTTTAAATCGCTGATTAATAGCGACAACATATTCATGTAGCCGACTCCAAATAATTGGGACTTACAGTTTTCTTGTTGTTGAGGGGAGCATTTACAATCAGAGAATGTTGCCAGCACTGGTATTGGAGAGACTTAACCAGTTATCTGTTAGCTATACCTACAGCTTTTACATGCTGTTGCTTTAAAAAAGAAACCAAGCTTCTGGCTTTGAGAGATTATAATGGAAAAGAAAGAGTAATACTTCATAGTATCTTTTGCAATGATCACTAATGGATTTAGGTTTCGGCTGTAACTTCCCTTTCCAATGAGTGATTGAGACAAAAAAGGTAGTATAGACTGGATTTATCTAGAATCACTTAAGATTAGGATTTTTATCATGGGTTCCTGTGGTGTCTTGGTGACTTGGGGTTACTAACCATACTGGCTCAGCCAAAATTTCAAACAAACCTAGTTGCTCGTTCACTTACAATTCCTTGTATGATTCAAGTCTTCGAGACCGTAAAAGTGTGAGTCATAGACTTTCCTGCTGTTGTGCAGCATTCAGAAGGGAGTCATTTTAAGGGATGGTTGTGAATGAAAATTTTTTGTCAAATTATTGGGGTTTTCCTAGCTGGACAAATTCTTCAACAAATGGATTGCATGATTGAATAAAAATGATGGTTCTGGGTGTTCTAGATTTTCTTATATAATTCATGATTAGAAGCCCTATTATCAGCTAAGTTGGGTTCTTTGATAGATTTTTGGTAAGGAAGACCTTTTGGTTACCTTTGATGTAATGTTGTTAAGCTGTCCCTTGTCATTTTTTCTCTACAGGAACTTTCTAGTTATTTAGATGTGTACTTAATCTTGTTATCATTTTGGGTGTTACATTATTCTTTTGGATAGTCCTGATGATTTTTGAATAAATGTACAGTTTATGCAGATGGTAGCATATGCTTGGATATTTTGCAGAACCAGTGGAGCCCAATATATGATGTAGCTGCAATTCTTACCTCCATCCAGGTACTGAATCCTTTATTTCTCCTACATTTTTCTCGAGCTGTCCTTAAAGTTGTTGACTAATGAACATCCATCACTTTTTTCTCCTGTTACTACTTTCTGATGCTTATATACATATTTTTTGCAACATAAGGTTTCCTGGCCTGTATTTATTTGTCAAACATTGTTGTTAAACTAATAATTTCTTGTGAGATGATAACATTACTGGTACAGGTCAGGAGAGCTTACAGTTATAGATCCTTTTTAGAATATTGTTCATAGCTTAGGATAGCTTATGTTGCACGTATGTAGGATTAAGATGTAAGAAAATATTTTTTTTTCCCTTGAGTATGTAAATATCACACACGGTTTATAGTTCAATATGCAACTGTAATTATTGCATAGATTGGTTCTACATCCTTGGTCGTGTAGATGTCTCACTAGATATATTGGCACCATACATCATCTGTGAACAAGTCATGTTCCCTATGTCATGGGCTTGGTTGTAGCACTCTTTGTTCTAGGTAACAACAGCAAATTGATATTTACATTTGACCGACTAGTTTTGCAGACAATGTTGTAGCAATTGATATTAATTCAATGTGTTCCAGAATAGACATGTGGGGAGGTAATAAATTTGTAGGTCTTCACATTTTTGTTGGGGAGTGACATACACTTTATGTGTGTGGTGATATAGTAAACCATTTGGTGGTGGCTATCTATGTATACGGTACAATATCCTGCGTGTCAATTCTTTTTCAATAATTTACTAAAGGTTGCATATGGATTATTGTCTGCTAATACCAGAACCAATTCTTTGTTGCAGTCATTGCTGTGTGATCCAAATCCCAACTCGCCTGCAAATTCTGAGGCTGCGCGCTTGTTCAGTGAGAACAAGCGTGAATACAACAGGAAAGTGCGCGAGATCGTTGAACAAAGCTGGACGGCGGATTGATGATGGATTCAACTCCACTCCCTCTGGTAGAAATGTTGCACTCATTTATGTTACAGAAACGATTGCCTGTTTGCCTGAATCTTCATAATCCAGCAGAAAAACTGGAATAATTTCCTTGGTTGATGTTGACAACTACATATCTTTTTTCTTTTTTTTTCTTTGGTGTGTAGACACATTTGGCTTGCTCTTCTGTTAGACTGTGAAATAGTTTAGAAGGTTGCAGCTGTATATGTCTACCATACGAAGGCAGGTTTTATATATATATATATATATTCCTACACTATACGTTATAATATGCATGCATGCATACGAAGGTTTTTAATCTCATATTTCACTGATGTTTGCTCGTACGAGAAACGTACAGAATTGATCTTTTTCTAAATATTAGACTAATATTTCGAGAGAGAGACGGAAAAGGGGTGATTGTAGAGCTCTTACCTTCGGCAGTGGGTGATGACGGAGCAGTTGTGGGAGTAGGGGTTGTCCCAGGCGATAGTTGTAGTGGGGCTGATGTAGTAGGAGCAAGCAAGGATACGATTGGCCATCTTCGTCCCCAACTTGAACTCATCCCCCGCGAGGCACTCCAAAGGGCTGCTGATTGATACATGGTGACCAGAACTGTTGCTTCAAGAACAACACAGTAAACACATTATTAGCACAAGCACACAGCCTGTCAAAAACCTCACTACGCCACAGAGCATGCCATTAAGAAGATCAAGAATGTGTTTCTGGGCAGCGGTAATTCCAGTGAAATCTCAAAGTATTAATCCTTCCAATTTCACAACATCACGGAGATGTTAAGCCTCGCTGAGATCAAGCTCCATTCTGCCAAAGGTTTTATTTACTCTGCCCTTACTATTCCAAAAGGCTTACTTGAGAGAGAATATATGTAAATCATCATGAAAGAACCAACAAAAACGACAAAGTTTCTGCAAATTAATACCACAGCCTGGTACAGCATATTTAACAGGTGAAAAAAATTACTAGCAAAATCCAGTTACCGTAAGGTGAAAGCCAAGAAATCTTCTGGCATTGCCAAACATACGAGTCATGAAATCAAAAGATGCCATTCCAACAGGAGAAACGGAGTGATCTTACAGTCTCAGAGAATTTACGTTAGGGCCTGAGGACCAAGGCCAGGCCAACCTTGGCACTCTTCTCGATTGCTTTTGTGTCGACCTCCCCAGAGATGGTGACAAACGATTTGGGCCTCCACTCATGTTGGATTAATGCACTAGCTTTGCCACAGTTGTTAAAGCGAGCCTTGACATTGGTAAGAGGATCCAGGGTATGTTGCGTCCCAAAGGTCATGGTATTCTCATTGCTCGAAAAACAGTGAGTGAGCTCTGCTCCAACTGCTGTACTTAACGGACTCACCAGGTGGTAATAGGAGGCAGTTACGCTGTCTCCCTTGTCATTCCTACATGCAGGTTTGAAATCAACCACTTAGAATCCACGTCATATCCCTTATCAGGGTTCAAAGAGTAGTTAGCTGTTAGATGTTATTTGCATTCCTCTATCATATGGTAGTAAAGATCGAAATAGCTTCCAGTTCAAAAAATAAGGGAAACTTTAGATAACTCTTACACGGTTAACGAGGCAATAAGATCAGCATTGATTACATTCAAACCTCCATTGCATTTGATGAAGTTTCCTGTTGCAGTATCAAACGATACATCAGCTCCAACAGCATAAGTATTAGTTCCAACAACTCCGGAAAGGTTGACAACAGGGTTAGCAGTCAATCCAATCCCAGCAGTTACACCTGCATAATTATGCAGGTACTGCAGCTCAACCTACAAGACACCCAAAATAGGTAAAAAAAGGTGATCGTTTACAACCTTCCTTTGCTATGGTTTTTTCAACAACCAAAAGGATAAGTGCTTATTTACCTTTCCAGACCGCTGATCCGGTATGATTACACTGAAAATAGATCTCAAGCCAGGAGTGAGTTCATCAACCGTAACTGTTGTAGCAAACTGGAAGGTGAAAAAAGAATGAATGATTATCACAATTTCAAGGTACCAAAGACTAGCATTAAACTTGATTGTTATATACTAGAAAAGTTGGCAGGGTCAACAAAGTCATGTATATCATGATACCAGTTGTAAACTTTATCAACATATGTTTCAAACAAGATCCCCGTGATTAACATGTTACAAAAGGTTGAAAAAACTATATTAAAAGAAGGAAATTCATGAAGCATAAAAAACATAAACTACAACTTACTTTAGAGTCTGAAGTTGCTTTAACATCAACACTGATATTGTTATTCTTCCACTGGGACTGAAGCTCACCAAATATCAGTTCATTTTTCTTTGTGCCAGATGTTGTAATAGACTGCATTATACACAGTATCGCCTTAAAAAGGGGATTAATGTACCAACGAGCACCGTAACAAAGACAACATGATCTAAGGTTCTTTCATCTGATAATCTACTACAGATCAATGAAAAACCCCTCCAGAAACATCATGATGCAAGACCAACAAGTTCTTTTGCTGTTTTCTGAGTATTTCATGTTAAACAGTACCATCTAATCATATTTTAAAGTGCAGAAAAAGAATCTAAGAAAATTTAACAGAATAAGTCACCTAGGCCCATAAAATCAGAAGGACATCACACATCAACAACCACAGGAACTTACATCTGTTGAACTGTTATAGACAAAAATTTCAGTAAATCACAGTTCAGTAGATAGATGCAAATGTCAATGCAAAAAAAATTGGACATTTGCAAACCAGTTATTCTTCCTTGATAATAAATACAGTTCAGACACCAAGATTTCTTTTAGAAGGAACCTATTGACTAACAGAGTTTACTAATGGAGTATGTCTCAGTAATCTAATAACACTAATAAGAAATACGACATTATTTATCATATTTGGGTTCAAAAGAAAATTTTCACGCACATCCCTGCAAACCGACGAAATGTCATATTTCTCCCTCGGATATTTTAAATACGCTCTATGTCCCTCTAAGTTTGAAACTAAAAGAAATACACCTAGAGGAAGTTGCTGTTGATGCACTATTAACATCTGACCATATCCAGGTACTCTTTTACACTTTTTGACTATAGACCTGTAACCCCGTAAAAATGATTGTGGAGACTTTCTGCTATTTGTTATCAATTTTTCTTTGGTATACATTTCTCAGATGAGAAGTCTCAGAAATGCTGCACACGTATAATCGTCTTCATCCATACAAAAGAAAGCAGCATCTTTCTTAAGGGTAAGCTTGTTAACTATCATTTTAGACTATGCTAGATGTAAAGGGTGGTGATATGAATAGCAAAGCTTAGTTAATTTTTCTTGTAGCTCCATGGCTAGGAACTATAATAACAATAGGAAAAATTATAGTTATGCCTAAAACAGTTTGCCAACATCTGATTGTATTCCCCTCTGTATATTGGAAAAAAAGTCTTTTCACTTCTATTCTTTGAGTCTTCCCTATTCCCAATTATCTTGCTATGATCACAGCAATACAATTACATGATCAGTCAGTGAATACTAATGAATTTTAGTGCAAGGAGTTCAAATTACAATATGGTAATAAATCAAGGCTTTCTGTTTCTTTTTAGTAGTTTTTTAAGGAATTGATGACCTTTTATATTCCCTAAATTACAGTGTCACATAACTATATTAATAACTATATTGATGGTAAATTATGTTACTGTCACTTATTAGTAATAAGTCATGTATAAAATTTATAACAGAAGTTACATGAATATTTGCTAGGAATTTATTAAAAAATACTTTTAAATATAAATAATATAAAACTCATATTAATCGAATATTATAATATATATATATATATATATATATGTATATATGTATTAAAAATATGCATGTCCTCGCTATGTCTGTATCCTAATTTTTTTTTTAAATGATGTGTCTCCATATCCGTCTCGTGTCCATGTCTTGTGCCTCTGCTTCTTAGCTACCACCACATATAGCAATGGAGAATCTCTTTGCAGGGCCCAATGTCAAGCCCTACGACAAATTTCTCTTAGCTCACCCCATGCCCCGATAATCATCTCCTATGCTACTAACTACAAGCTGCCATAAGGTAGATAATTCTCAAATGTGCTGCCTGCCTTGCATCTCCCGGGTGCATAATCCTAGCCCATAGACATGATCAATCCCATCCCCCATGATATAAAAATACTTTTCTCTCTGTTTAGATCTGGTGATTCAATAGCAATATCAGATGCCCTTAAAGTGCTTGTAGCCAACTAAATTCTCGGGTCAACCAATCTCTGTCCTGACAATACAGTGTCAATTTTCATCTTGTTACTACACTAAGACAGACTTCTTTTGGGTCTTAGCCTCTAGGCTAAATCCTTCACTATAGTTGACTGAAAGCCTAGGGTTCTTACACAATCAAAGATACAACTTGAAAGGAACAAATGAATAACAAAAAAACAAAGAAAAAATATATATTCTACCATTTTTACAAAAAAAAAAAAAATTCATTGTGATCAGTGCGAAAACAATTGTTTGGCAAGATGACGCTTTCATACACACATCACCAAATTGCTTACAAGAATTTGCCGAACACCCACACGATTAGTAACATGTAACTTAATAACGAAGGTATATGATAAACGGTTTCACAATAAAGCATCATAAACATTAAGTGCTCGTCCCACAAGATTTAGCCCCAAAAATTGTCTATAATACAATAATAATAATAATCTCACAATTTTTACGTATTGAAATGAAGGACATTACCAAGACATTAAGCATCTGTTCACTCCGGTTAACAATCAGCTCTAGTGATTTAGAGTACAGCAAGCAAAACCAACAAACCGAAGAACCACTCGTCGATCATAATAATGAACACATTAGAACAATACATCGAACAATAGTGGCGCAAACTGAAACCCTCGCTGGGAATAAACCCTAAAATGCTTCAGAAATCACCGAAAAGAAAAAAAAAAAGAGGGACTCACGACTCCGTTCAAAGTGCTGGTGGTGATAGTGAACTTCTGATCGGTCTGGTAGTCCTTGTACAAAAGATCTGCACCCAAATAAATTCAAAAAAATAAGCGAGAAATGCAAAAAATGGATTGAAATGAAGCAAAAACCAGCGAGGCCGCCACGAGTACCTCTCGCCCTTTTGGCGACATCGGAGTACAATCCCGGACCCATGGCTTCCTCACTCCAAATCGCCCCAAACGAGAGTAGAGAACTCGGAACGTGGCGAATAATTGGATTTTATCTAAATCGGTTTTCTTCGTCTTGGCGAAGATGTGAATCGTGTATGAATCTGCACCGTCGGTTCGGCGATTCGAAAGCAAAGAATGATCGCCCGATGGATGTCGGGACTCTGTTTTGACCGTTGGATGGTATTTGAACGGTGGTTATCGAAGCCTTACTCTTCGTTGCAGAACCATCGCATCACGTGGGAAACAAACTAACATCTCTCTCCCAAAACCAAAGTGATTTTTTATATATTAAAATGATTATAAAATATTAGAGGTATTTTAGATTTTTAGCTTACGCTAGCCGACTTAAATCACAGAAGTTAATCATGATTAACCTAAGATTTTTTGGGTTGGATATCATACTGCTATGAAAATTAGGATTCATATACTACAGATTCATAATCTTATCTTATCTTGAATATTGATAATAATTGGGTTATAATCTTATCTTCTTAATGAATTGTGTTATCTTGATACAAACATGTATTTACTGATACAGATCAGGCTCTTTCCTATAAGCATGCAACAACTGCTTAATAAGCCTACAATTTTGTCTAAATATCTAAGAAGAACAAATCGTATAATTATCATAAATAACTTTTCGATACAGTAAGGACTCACTGAAATATGTCGCGAAGATTAAAGAAGCTATAGTTATCAACGTAAAACGATGTGTCGGCATATGCGTGGCAAGAGATAAGTGATCCCGATGTCGGCGACGTCGGAAGCGATACGGAAACTTCCGCCCTATATATGTTGCTTCCCGGATTGCCATTATCCTTCCTTCCGCTGAAAGAATCCGAAGTTGACCACAGAGCCATAACACTCCACCGACGCTGTTGCCCCCGCTCGCCTTGGTCTCATGGAAGCATACCGAGACGCCAAGCTCGCTCATCCGATCGACGACAAACAACCCTCGCCACCTCCGTCGCCGCCCGCGCCCCGACTACAGGTGCAGGATAGGCCGGCTGCCCGCTACAACTGGCTCCATGATCTGCCGTACGTCCTCGGCCTGCTCTTGCTCGGCATCAGCGTCGCCGTCTCCGCGTACGGGTCGCGCAGCGATCCGTCGTCGTTAGCCTTCATGCTGTTCTCCTGGGTCGATCTACTGTGTCTCGTTCTTTGCCTCAGGAGGTTCGAGCGGCTCGCTCCGGACGGCCCACCGGAGGAGAAGGCGAGGCTGAAGCAGGCTGTTTGGCTGCTGTCGACGGCGCTTGTGGTGGCATTCGGTTGGAGGGTATCGGAGCTAATGCCCACGGCATTAGCTGTTCTCATCTGGATTTCGGCGGGGTGTGTCGCGGTTGGAGGTTTCTATGGGCTCGTCCTGTACAAGGAGCAGATTGATGAGACTGAAAGATGATCGTTGTCATTAGATCTCGAATTGTATTTGTAGTACTGTGTGTGAGTATGTGGTAATTTTCTTCTGCTGTGTTCATCTCACGTCTATCCCTGTAAATTGAGAATGGCTTACCTGACACAAAAATTATTTTCCTTACACGACAAAGACTATCACATCTCATCATAACGTGACTGAGACCGACACGACACGACACGACATAATGTTCTTCTTCGATTGTATTAATGCTCGAAGAGATACGTAACCGTTGTTGTCGATATTAAATCATGTCGATGTCAATTACAATGGTCTTAAACCTTAGTATAGAAAGACCCTTCGGCAAGTTGTTAGCCAGAATAGACTCTTAAGAGTGTCTTCTTCTGCTGCTCCTGAAAACTTGGTGTCTATCCAAAACTATCAACTCAGAAAGTTACGGGAAAACCTTGATTAGAGCTCCGAATCAACATCCTAATCGAATCACAGAATCTATGGAGCCATATCAACATCTAGATAGACAAGCAGGACGTATCTTAACATAAATTCATTCAAATAAAAATATATATATATATTTCTAATTTTAATTAATATAAAAAAATTTAACATTTAAAATAAAATATAAAAAATATTATTTTTAAGAATCTCCACCGACCCACCGCTTCAGAGTCACCGCCTTGGACAGATTGTCTTGCTGTTTGATGGTTCTTTTATTTTTCTTCTTTTTGACTCCCGGTGCATGCACGTCAACATTTGCACGACCAAAGGCTCTCTATGTGTTTAACATCTGTCTAATAATCTATCATTACTAAGCAGACGAACAGTAGAAAAGTTTTCTTTTCTGAAGGAACACATGATAGCATTAACATGTTAATTTACTAGGCAAACACGATTAGTCTCAAATAGGCAAACACATTGGTTCCACAGAACACAACTGAAACTACAGCTTTTAAGACACACGTCAAACAGCAGTAACATATCACTTCATGTTGCTCGTAGCACTCTCATCAAAGTGAAAAACCAGATAAGGGCACTGCCACAAGAGAAGGCAATGCTATGCTCGTCAACCTGGGCAGACACAACATATGCGCTCAGACTCTCAGGTCTGGATCTACAAAATGTTACGTAGATAGCAACTTATCAGGACCAGAGGCAGACCTGACTAAAAATAAGCAGGTAAGTCCAATGGCCACACTGGTAGGATATGATCCAGATAAATCACTTCAATAAGTACACATGAATTATGGAGCCACTGCATCACCCGATGCAACCATGTCCACATCAGATTTCCCTTCAGTTGATCTCTTTTCACTTTTCATGACTGAGTTATCTGGCGATACACAAGTATACAACAACAAAGAAACTGTTAGGTCCCAAATATTGGGGGTCGATGGATGGCGATACAAAGTACCCACTATTAAAATGAACCAAGTGTCAAGTATAATCATGCATGAGCTAACGGATAAGTGGGGAAATCTTCTCCACAAAATACCAAATATAGCATCAATTGAAGTGTCAAGTACCCTCATTATTAACTTTAACTCTTAGTTTTAGTCTCATCCACCCTTTATGTTCTCTTCCATGTAAAGGCAAAAAACATAGAGGTAGGTTAACTAATACCAAAATGTACAAGGATCCTTAAGAGTTTTAACATCAATGATAGATGGCACTCATATTTAGATGGTTTTGCAAAGTAATTGGCGTGAGCCACATAAAGAAACCTCAGAACAACTTATTAAGGCTACACAATATATAAATTAGTATATACAAACAGACTTTATAGCCTGGACTCCTATCTCTTTATTGAAAAATTAAGAAAATGACTAATTTATGACTGATAACTATATCAGTCATAAATTGGAGGTACACTGGCTTAGAAAAGATGATGAGAAATGGTTAAAGTGTAATTTACATGACGAACCTATAGCTAGGACATTAGAAGCCTTATGTAGAAATTCACTATCAGAAGCCTAAAAATAACAAGCGAATTACCCATTCGATTTGTTCAAAGTTCAAACAATAGGTCTACATTCATCAAGAATTAATATACAAAAACAATAAGCGTCAGAATGTCAGTCCAACATGTTACTGTTACATGGTCTGTGTAGTCTTAACATATATATGGTAAAACATCTAAAATGGCACTGTCTTGGGATTTCTTGAGTTGGTCTGGCCAGACCTGGCCTAATCTTTAACATCCCAAGTCAGGTCAAAAATATTTGGCAAAAATCAAACGAAGGCTCATTTGCTCGAGAGAGAGAGAGAGGATTATTCCTCCATCTAACAGGTCTGGTTTTCTTAATATCCAACAATAAGATCTGTTGATGTATGTTCCCAAATTATTCCTCTTTTTTCTATTCTTAATTATTTTCTTATCAGTATACTGGGGTATGCTGGTCCATACCAATGTACCATACTGGTCTGATATGGCCTGTGGACCTGTAATGTGATATCATGGCTAAATTAATCATTTCCAAGAAAGCACCATTTTCTCTATGTTTTTTTACCTGAGGCTCCTATGTCAGCTTTAATTCACTTGATGCACGTCAAAGTCCCCACAAAAGGAAGTCTTTATACAAATTTTGCCAGAAATATAAATTCAGATTCTTTAACCACTTTCTCCCCTTCCAATCTAATTGAGGATAGATTGGAGGGATGAAACAGTTTAGCATTATTGACATTGACTCTTGTTGATTGCCTTATAAAGTGATCACGAGATACACAATGCCTCTCACCATATACTGTTTGAGGGAGAGAGAGCTGAAAAGTGTATAAATCAAAATCAGAGCTTTACTTGTCAAGTCTTAAATGTTTTACACAGCAGCCACCATATTCTGGAATTTGAAATAGCAAATGAAGAAAGAACACTCCATCTAAAACAGTCCTGTTCCATGTATTGCAGGAAATGAGATCTAACCCATCTTTCCACTCCTTTTTCACCCTCCTCTATTTGTAGTTCTGAAATTATGTATGGCAACATTATTCTTTCCTTTCCACCACCCAATCCTTTTTCACATATGATGTATAACAAATATCTACAGGAATATGTATTAAAAACAAAATCAACGTGCAAATACAAAATGAAAAAACTAAGCATATTTGTGGACAAGATTGAGCCTACACTGGAACATTAGAATCTCCAGAGATTTTCTCACAGTAAGATTGTTTACCAGTAGGTTGATGTAACCCTTTGACGGCATCAAAATTCTTGAAAGTATATCCAACAAAGCTCAAATCTTGAGCATTTAGCAATTTCTGCATCAAAAAAATGTACCAAGAATGAGTAAACACTCAGAATATCCACCACAATTAAATCATGCAACTACAAAAATATACATATAAGGGGTGATAAGCTTAAATTTCATGCATAAGAATTAACAGAACTTTTAGATAGATATTTGATATACTCAGCAATCTCGGTAAGATGCCCTCAACAATGTGAAGAATTTCAAATAGAATTTGTTTCTCACAGCTTGTGATGAAAAAGAATAAACAGTCAGTCACAGACTTTAAGTTACTTAAAGGTTAAGGTGCTAGTCTCCCCCTTGCTCAATGCATGCATCTTGACCTCAAACTTTGCACAAGAAGAACCACATATAGAGCTAAAAGCCACCAGGTCTCTGAAGATTTTAAAGCAAGTCCTCCAGACTAGACATTCCCCACTCTAGAAGCCAACATGCATATTCAGCAACATGTCAGCATCTGACCCATTCAGAGATAGTGTTGGTGACAACAACAATTCCAAAAGAAAATAGCGCAATTTTCTCTCTTAGTTTTGCTATTTTCTCTTCTCTTTCTCTTTTCTTTGTTTTTCATTTCCTGCTGTCCACATTGCAATGGCAAGTATCGCATTAGCCATCAATCAGCACAACACACAAGTGCATGCCAAGGCAAGTATAATATTGTTTGATGAGTCTGTCATTATGTTTACAACATAGATTATCAAGGACTGCCATGCCAGTCCAAGAAAATGCATTATCAAGCATGATACATGGATGTGTGCCCGTTACATAAATGGGCACATGCATGGGCACTTGACTACCATGAGCTGGCATAATACATTACCACATGACAAGTGGCATGTACATGCCAACTTGAGTCCAACTTGATGGTACACAAATTTTGTAACTATAATTTCTCCATTAGCTGATGATGATGCTTAAGTGCTTTAAACTTCAGATATTTCTGAGGAGGCATCTTTTACACATCGCAGATATTCAATATTAATCAATGAAACCTGTACCCCACCTTAAAATGATGATATTTCATCATAATCTAGCTAAATCCACTTGTCCAATTACCCAACTATCCATTGTTCTCAATGCAAAATTCATGTGGATTTATCAAAGACTTTGCATTTATCAAAGTCTATCAGGAGTGACTGCCACACTAAATCAATAACTATATTAGCACATTTGGCATCTTAATTGCTGATTATGAAAATACAAATGGCAATAAATAAAGTTGCATACCTTCCTTGTAAGCCCGGAACCAGTTCTTGCTGGAGTAGGCGGATCCAACTGGATCATAGACCAAAAAGGAACAAAATGCAAAGTTAACAATGACAAAATTCAAAGAATTTATAATCTGTTGCCAACTAGAAACCTTCTAACACATCATTTTGGATAACAAATTGCAAAATCAATTAACAATAGAGACCAGCTTCTGTGGGTACAGCATTGTGAAATATATTATCATGTTCAAGCTGGCATAGTCTAAAGATAATTGAGACATGCTTGCAAAAAGGAAAACTTGAAGAGTCCAAATATGTGAAATAGAGAATACATTGCATCATGTTAAGGTTACAGAACAGAAATGAAAAAGGTGAGAATAAATTTATGACCAACAAGCACTGTCTGTGACATGCTGTTATTGATGACTACAGGCATGTAGAAAGTGAGTAAAACAACAGTAAGCTTTATTCATGGCCAAAAAGTAATGCACAGAAGTGAACAGACATACTTCATCAAACTTCAAGAAATTCTGTGTATCTAGTTCGCCATTAACTTCGGGTTTAAATGCTGCCTCCATTTCATAAAGCTTATCCCAAATAATATCTTTAAACCAGGGATGAGCCTGGAAAAGGACAATTGCCAGCAATTTATAAATATCAATTAAAAAAGATAATTTTCCATTGATTTTATATACTTGAAAATCACCTTTAATTGATCTGCTCCTCTACTGCCAATTCTGTGCTCAACATCACATAATAATCTACATATAAGATCCTTTGCCTCGGGAGACAACCTTGCATCTTCTGGAAATATTAAATGGTTTCTCCAATGCACAATCTAATAGCATGGTTAAACAACTTGAGGGATTGTTTGTAGATAAAACAGCTAAGATCATGAATGCATTTAAAGTTGTAGTCTAATCCACAATACAGGAGATGTGATAATAATATGAAATAAAAATTATTTTCAGAAATATATATGATATCCCAGCAAATGGAACCTACAAGGTAAAGCATGCAGCAAAGAGACATTGTCGGAAACATTACTAAATTTTCGAACCAGCTAGCAACTATTTTGGTTGCTAATGCAGAATGCTTTCAACAACATTTTGGTTGCACATGGTGGAATAACCCAACTAAGCAATATTTGATTCGTGGATTGTCAGACATGACCAAATGTACAAAGGTGCCCCAAGAAATCAAACAATCTAGAATAGAATTAAATGTTTGGATAGTCTTAAGACTACAGTAAAAAGCCCACAGGGAGGACCTCAATAAGCAGGCACCTGAGTCACTTGTCTATGATGACTATGAGAGCATCCAATGTTCATGCATCACTAAAGCACCAGTATATGCAAGAGTCCATGATACTGACACAGGGTTGGAGATTCATCCAATATGAGCATGGAAGTGGCAGTGGTAATAGTGTTCAACTAAAAAGACAGAAGAAAGAACACAAAGCATCAATCATTGCGTTTATAATCAACATTGGGTGCATGCATTAGTATAGAGTTCACATGGAGGAGCTTTGATAATCGGGTTTCAATCAATTTATAACCAACTTTATCTCCCTGAAGCACCTCCAGCAGAGAAAGTGGGACATAAAGCTATGTTTACATTTAATAACTAGACTAGTTCTCATTTTGCAAGTTCATTGGATGAGAAGACTGTCAAGAAGCATATGTTGTCCTCTAGATTACGGGATACAGTAAGCGAGATCATTGTCTTGGGTGAGCCATTATATGCAGTCTTGCACTGAGTTATATTAACAAAATCACAAATGAGCTACATATATCATATAATACACACCGCAAGATGATAAGAAAAGCACTCACCGATTTTGAGAGATATGAGAGGTGTTCCCATCTCATTGATCATAGATGGAACACCTAGATATCCAAACTCCAAAGACCTTCATATGGCAAGTAAGAAAGTGCAAGGATTGACAATTATGGTGTTTGTTGAACACAATTACAATCTAATTTTAATATCCTAAGAAGGTGCAAGCATGTTGTAAAATATCATCAAAATGGAATATAAATACCAAAATGGGTGCTAAAGCTGTGAGATTAAGCAGATTAACCTTACGGCATGTAGTTATTGGGTCATCAGAATAGAATGGTGGATAGCCAACAAGCATCTCATACATAATCGCACCGAGGGACCACCTGCAATATTTCCACAATGAAATGCCCATAAAATTTCTCTCCACATTGTAATATATAACATCAACAGAAGTATGGAAGAATAGTTTTTCTTAAAATGCATTAGAGCGAGCATAGATGAATTCACTGAAAACTCATAACACATATGAATACACAACATATGCATGTTCACATACATACAAGACAAAACCTTGACTACTAGTACCAACCAAAGAAGAGCTCTTCCAGCACTATTTTAAACCTACCTCTAAACAAGTTCATTGACAAAAGAACAACAAAAGGTGATAGTGGTGGCAAAGGGACTTCATATCTTATATCGATAAGAAAAAAGAATTTTCCTACAGAAGAGAACACCATAGGTGATAGTGGTGGCAAAGGGACTTCATATCTTATATCGATAAGAAAAAAGAATTTTCCTACAGAAGAGAACACCATAGACTATAATAGGAATTCTTGATGGAAACAAAAATGGCTCAATGTTTGAGCCATGGACTGCAATTTTGGCCAAAACGAAATGGTATAGTACAAGTGGTACATACCGATCCCACCGCTATCTGAAACTCGGATCAGCCCAATTTCAGGTAGTTCAAATGTAATATAGGTCTCATCGCTCAGTAAACCTTGTGAATCAGGCGACAAGGCCTGCGAACAGGGCTAACCGCCTAGTTCAAACCCGGTAATGGTCTGAATAATAAGCCCAGCCAATTTTTTAAAATTTAAAATAAAAAAATAAATCCTTAACTTATCCTATTATGCGTTCTCCATTTGTGCCAGCCCAGCCAATTTTTATTTTTTAAATTTAAAAATAAAAGATAAAACCCTAACTTATTCTATTGTGTGTTCTCTATCTATGCCTGCATCTGTGTTCACGTCCTTCATCGACTGTGTCCCTCACTGCTCACCTGTTGCTCGCATCTCCATCACCAGTCCTCATCGGTACTCATCTTCTACTTCTCAATCTCCTCCGATGCCTCCTTTCCCCCCTTTGCCGCCTTCTCCCCTCCTTTCCTCTTGATAGCCTACTTCCCTGCTCTCATAGTTTGTCGTCTCTCCTCCTCCTTCCCTCATCAGCCTCCTCTCCTTCTGCATCGTGTCCTCTCCTTTTTCCCTCCTCCGCCACTACCTTCCCTCCTCCTCTCCATATGGGCTGTCACCTCTCCTCTCCTCTCCTCTTCCTCCTCAACCTTCTCCTTCCCTCCTCTCCTCCTGCACCACTGCCTCTCCTCCTCCCCTCCTCAGTCACATTCCCTCCTCTCATCCTCCCCTCCTCAGCCTCTTTCCCTCCTCTCCTTCTACGGCGCTGCCTCTCCTCCTCCTTCGACCGATTTTTCATCAATTTTTCAGAAATCAGTACATACAGGTGCATCGATAGGTATCCAGTCACGGACCAATACAGAAGTCCGGTACAAGATTGCTCTCCTTGGTTTGAGCCACTAGCAGTATGCACCGCAAAATAGTAATAGAATTAAAATAAAAGGCTTAATGGTCAACTTAATTTAAACACATGTATGTATATACAACCACCACAACATCATAAAGCCCCAACAAGCTCAGGTATGCATATCATAGCAATATAAACAATGCATCATCTGCCCCAAAAATTGTAAAATATTAAATGATTAGTTAGACAGACCATTACCAATTTCTTGCTGGTTATCGATTAATATAGATCCTTTAACAAGTTAAATATTATCAAATACCAAGATAGATTTTTAGTTTGAATATAAAAAAAAGAAAATAGTTTAGTGCTAGTGACACTATACATAACTATCAATTGATTATGCATTTCCAACTTAATAATGTACAGTGTTCTTGTTATAACAAACCATTCAAAGTATTTTACCAGTATGCAGTGTATACGCATGTGCAATATGCAATACCTTGACCTCCTACACAAACCCACTTTCTAAAATGTTGCAGTTTTGCGCTAAAACTAGACTTTAGACAGAAAAAAGTATATCAGTAGGAACAAATATATCGGGCACAAACACCAACAGGATTTCTTTATCTGGCACATACAAGCAATATTCAAACAAAGGAAAAGATTGTTTCACAACAATTCTGTGTTTATATTGCTCAGAAATGGTAACCAGCCAAGAGAACATAAAGCTTCAAGAAAACTGACAACCACACTGCAACTTCTATACATGGTTCCAAAAAGCAGTCAAACCTCACCAGTTCAACCCACTCCAAATGGATTCTGACCAATCCCCAGAAGATTTCAGCAAAAAGGGAGAAGGAATAAAAGAGGTGCATATTGGCTATTGGCATTTCATTCAGCTCCATAATTATGCTATTGCCTTTTGCTGGATGATTTACCACATGTTTTATTGAGTTTGCACTAGTTTGTAGCACAAATTACATTTCTTTATCAATTTCTTAACTATTTCATTTTATTTATTCCTAACCTTCTCACCTTTCTGACATAATTTTTAATTACTTTTTAGTCAAAATGCTATTGCCACAATCTAATCCACTCATTTTTTTTGCTTCAAAGTTTGATGACAACAGATGCTGATGCACACAAAATTCTAGAACTTTAAGATACCATCCACATAAATAATAGAAGGATAAAAGGCAAAAAATTTAATCAACGAGTTACTCCATCAACTGTCAACTATAACGTGTACATATTAAAAAAAGAAAAACTCCATCCAACCTAAGTCAGATTTGAGTATAAATTTGCATACTTATGTCATTACTCAACGAAAATTTTCCCATGCATGCTTACAAATTAAATCTTTCTCAAGGTTGATCCAAAGTTCAAAAAGATGAGAGATTAGGCAGCCAATAGCCAATATAAAAGTTCTATGTAACCGACCCCAAATAGTTGAGACATTGTAGCTAGTTGTTATCGTCATTAGTCAACTATAGAGCCACAACTTTAAATCAAGTATAAAAACTGTACTGAGAGAAATTAGAAAAAGACTTAAAAGTGAATGCCTTCTCAAAGAAAAAGGAAAGAGATTTTCAACACAATGTATAGGTAAAACAAAAATCAACCACTGTCTGATGGTTACGGAAAGTCGATAAAGGTTCAAAACCAAAATATCTAAAGATATTTGCATTTGTACTTGAAAGATACAAATAAACTTTCATGACAATACCAATAGAACATGGCTTATGAGGATCAGACTTATGCAGTTACTTACCAATCACACTCCATCCCATATCCTTTCTTTAGTAATACTTCTGGAGCAATATAGTCAGGTGTTCCAACTGTGGAAAATGCCTAAAAACACATTGATAACATCATAGATCTATGTCTCAAGAAGTAAATACCAAGTGAAGTGAATTAATTAAGAGAGAACAGAATCATAGAGAACAGGTTCACACTTCACATAGGCTCAAAATAAAGCATTATAGAGAACCTACCAGCTTCCTCCTGTTCATCTGCCAATGCTGCAGTTGTTCGTGAGGGCTTTTCCACCCGCTATCATTATTTGTATAAGAAAAACCATCAACATCCATCGACTCCCTAAGATTTTCATCACTCAGCAGTTCATCTTCATTCAATGTCGAGAGCTTTAAACAATCAATTGGTTTACACAAGCCAAAGTCTGACAGCTTCATGTGACCATTTTTGTCCAACAGAAGGTTGTCAGGCTTTATGTCCCTGCATGTGAAGGTAATTAAACAAAAAATTTATTGGTTTATACTTCAAAGTTTATATACCAACCTATTGATCAACTGATCAGTTGAAATCTATGATGTACTAACCTGTGAATATAATTGTGTTTATGAATGGACTCTATGGCCGACACACTCTGAGCAATGTAAAATCTAGCCACTGTTTCAGTCAAGGTATCTTCTCTGATAAGCAGGGTCATCATGTCCCCTCCAGGAAGATATTCCATAATTAGGTAAAGGTCTTCAGTATCTTGAAATGAATAGTAGAGTTTAACGATGCAATGGCTAGCAACTTCAGCAAGCAAGTTTCTCTCAGCTATTACATGCTCCACCTAAATGACAATATGATGGATTTTAAGAATAATAAAAGAATAGAAGTATATAAGAGAAAGAAAATGCCAATGTAGAACCTATTGTTGTTTGTTACTACACACAAATTTAGAGGGTTATCGAATAGAAGGCAAGATTTATGTTTAAAGAAAGCTATATGAGCACTAGAATAATAAGAAAAAGATCTTTAACAGATGAGAACATACAACAAAGTAGATAAATATAGGACATGCAATGGATAAAAATGACATGGAGATCATGGGTAGCATTAAAAAATATATAGTCAGTTACTATCAGCTATACTCAACCAAAATCATACAATAACATCTCATGACAGGTAGTTTCCATCAATGGCTATATCCATATTTATAATTGTCCCTTGAACCCTTGAACCTTTTACTGCATTTCAAGTAACCATTGCTAAATATCTCTTAGAAGGCTAACATTACAATTTTTACTCTAAAAGCTACTGAAAGAAGTTACTGAAACATTTGGAAGGTTACAATCATCACACAAATAAATATTTAGCTATTAAGACCCAATAGTTAGTTATGATGCATCAGGAGTTATTCAAGGCATTTAGAAGTTTATAACAAGCTCTCAGAGCGGTTCATAAGTCATCAAAGACATATACAAGGTCAATGCAGAACTCACAACAGTTGCTTAGGAAGTTAAACATACCAACCAACCAAAGTATTACATAGATGAAAAGTATGAAGTCTTTGCCTAAATAGATCTAAAACAAAATTAAGGAAAAATAAATTTATGACTTGAAAACTCATTTGCAACATATCGGACATTTTCTAAAACACAGTTATGCAACATATCTTACCTGACCTCTGGTAACCATTTCAGATTTCTTCAGCTTTTTCATGGCATAAATATTGCCAGAGGTCTTCTCCCGACAGAGTCTGACCTGTGGTTTATAAACTGATAAGCATCCAAAAAATTAGCAGTACAAACTAGCATGCTGATTTAGCAGATTGTGTGCACTACGCAGCATGTGATTTTTCAACTCTGCTATGTTCCTCAATCCAATTTCGACAGTATGACTAAAAAAGGAAACCTAGAGAATCTCAAATGTAAAGAATGTTATTAGCATCTCTAATGGATCATCGTAAGCTGAGGACATAAAGTCCTGATTAGCTATGAGAAATGTAGAGAAATAATTGAAGGCTAAAAGATAAAATGCCTCAATGTACTAAAGATTCTACATAGCATCAAAACAATAATTCTTTAAAACCAGAACTTGGTCTACTATCACCAAATACTATGAGATCCATAAGTTATGATTCAGATTTGAATTAACCAAATCATATATGATGTAAACTGTATAGAATATCTGACTCTGCCAGCAGTCAGAGGCTTGGATCATGAAAGATCATATAAACACATAAAAAGCATAAAACAATGTACATCATCGACAGATTCACCCCGAAGACTGATACATATTGTGGTAAGTTTGGTGGAATATGCCCACTAAAATTAATTTGGAAGTGAAGCTGAATCATGAAATGATCTTGTACATGCAAAAAAAATAACAATGAGGTGGATATGTGGGTATAGCATTGCCTTAATAAATAAAGATTTGGGTGCATACTATGATAACCTAACAGAGGAGTTGGTGTGTTATCAGTATATGCACAAAGTCAGTCTTTGCTGAATTTTGTTCATAATAGTAGTAGGTCAGATCAATTAGGGTCATTCCATTAGGTGACTAGGGTTTGTCATAGAAATAGTTTTCTATTTATAGAGTTAAGATTGAGTACATTGACCCTCCCCAAATCCTACATTGGTTGTCTCATGCACTGGGTTCACCCTTTTTATCTTAATAGGTCTGATTGTTAGAATCCGTCTTTATAAGCTCAGCATGAGACCTCAATAGACATCTAAAAATAAGCTAGAAGAAAGACAACCAAGAATAGCAGTTAGTAATACTTTCACAATCAATATAATCATGTTAACAACATTCGAACAATATTAATTGAAGAGTTCTAATGTCTGCACTCAGCGACGAAAAGAGATTTGCATATTCTAGCAAAAAAGACAAGCAAGTTTTTGGTTCTATGAGAAAGACCACACAAGCTCAGACCTCCCCAAAAGCTCCCCTCCCAATTATGGTCAGCAGCTCAAAATCATCAACGCAGATTTTGTGCCTTTTAAGCCTCATATACTCTGTCTCCTTTCTTTCAAGATCCTTCAGCATATTGATCTGCTCCTCCTTGGAAACTTTTGAAGAAGCCAATTTTCTCTCCAAGAACCAACGTCTGCAATTGTTAAAATTTATCAGCTATTAAAACCAAGAATTGTTACCATTTGCAAAGTTGAGTTTGTGCATATATCAATCAAGTGATTTGGACATTTACCTAAGAGACACGTATGTAATTAACTTCCTCTCAATAGAAAAAATTGAGTTTCTATTCTTGAGCTACAATCCTATGAAAGTATTCAGATACTTTTTTTTTTTCTCATGAAAGCTCATAATAGGCCATTTGAACTTCGAATCTACAAATTTAATAAAGCAGCACAAAACAGCTTCTTTGCTTGAGAATCATCCTTTGTTGTTGAAGCTCATAAATTTCCATTTGATGGCGGGTTCATTTTACATGATCAATAACAAAAAGATGTAGGATGATCGAGGTGAACTAAAGGAAGGGAAAGGCTAGTCCTTGGAGACCAAAACATGCCTTGTCAGAAAAAGAAATAGCTAGTTTTATTTTGTACATACCCCTATTCACTGAACAAGTATGAATGTGTGCTACAATATAGATCGGAATGGGTTAGGATCAAATTAACAAAGTATTGTTGTCCTAAGAAACCAAAGAATCGCTTCCTGTGCTGATAGATCAAACAAGAACTTGAAATAGAATAAATGATCAGTTAGCTACCATTAAGCCTCATTTTGGCTATTTAAAACCAATTTTCAGAAGAATGTAAGCCAAATTCGATTTTTACCTATCAATCACTACAGAAACATCTGATTTACTGTCCAAATTAAGCGGATTTGCTCACACTAATTGAGCTGCTAAACATCCATGCTCATTCCAAAAATGAGATGAGTAAGCAAGTTCAGACTCATCATAATTTGTTGGAAAGCTAGAATGTCATGGAACTTCATGATGCAAGACCAATATAGATTCGGTAGAGTAAATAATTCAAAAGCATATCAAGAGAAGACAAAAATGAAAGCCCTGAGGAAGGATCTTTTCACGAATGTTCCTTTTTTTATAGATTTTGTTACTAAATTATGTTCTTTGGCTGAGTCAATTTATTTGTAATGCACTTTCAAAAGCCACCATCTCAGTGTAACCTTTCATCTGTGTCTCATAAAAAAAAAAAAAAAAATCATCTCTTCCAATTCAATCCTCGACATAGATTTCTCTCATACTTGTGGGCGCGTGCATCTCCTACATCAAACATGTTTAATCTCTCAAACAGTTAGCCAACAGTGCTTCACAATTGACTATAACATCGTGCCATAATTCAGTCAAACTATCAATTAAAACTCTAAAACCATCAACTTTGATGAATACTAGCTCCTGACGTGGACTATTGTACCAACTGAATGTTCCTTACTAAGCCACTCGGATTAATGGAGAGGCCCAAACCAACAATTTTCTGATCCAAAGCTAACACCTAAGGCTGTTTGAGAATCAGGAACTGGATTCGCGTATCTTTTCACTGAATCGAGAGAGAAAAACCCCACGGAGCAGCAGGAGGAGCAGTAGAAATATATCCAGCGAGGATGAGACTGGAGAAAGCTAAGATCAAGGCCGTTCGGGATCAATAAAACAAGATCTTAGAAGGTAAAGCGAGAGAATCGGGCGAATAGAGAGATAGCCAGAACCAACCGTTCTTTCCGCTCCTTGATGTTCTTCGTCTGGTTCCTGTAGTGGTTCTCGATGAACTTCTTGGCGGCAGCCACCCGCTCCATCGTCAAGCTCGACCCCACCGCCTCCGCCTCCGCCTCCTCCGTCACCGCCGCCAACCTCCCCGCCGCAGCTTCCCCTCCGTTCTCCCTCGCCCCTCCCTCCATGTCCCTCTCTCTCTCTCTCTCTCCTCTGTCCCCTCGCTAGTATGATACGTATTAATTCTTCCGGAACATAAGTGTGCCCTCGTTCTTACCCAATGTGAACGAGTTTTACAACCGTCAGATTCCAGGCAACACGACTTTTCAAGCTACGAATGATCACTAGCCAGAATCCGACGGCTAATATTATGTTCCGCACTGTCCACAAGAGTGCGCACGGGCTCACGGCGTCTTCGCCCCCACTTTAATTTTGGGATTCCCTCATATTCTATTAAGGAAATCAGACAGGCCTCGTCACCGTCGATAAAAAAACTGACGGTCTAGAACGGCCCATCCGGGGTTCCGCCTGGCTAAGCATCGTTGTTCTCCAGCTCACTGCCGGTTGGGCGGATCAGAAAACACCAGCCCTACGATGACGATCGGACGGTTCCTTGGCTTGCGAGCCGCTCGCTCTTGGACATACTCGACCGGCACGTTTTGTCGGTGAACCGGGTACCTCTTACCAACACGAATTCGGACGAATGAAACGTTGCTACGTAAGAAATTTTATAAACGTGATGAACATCTATTGGCTTCGGTGTCTGTTCGCTGTATTCTATGATGCTGCGGATGAGGAAGGGTTGGGCTTGATGTGGTTAGTTGCTAATCATTGGGTGGAAAGAAGGAAAGGCGTTCAGCAAATCCAGCTGTTTCAATAAACAACTCTCTTAAACACAGACTAACAAACTAGTAGTGTGAGTTGGATCTAATTAGGCATACTACGAGGGTAAACATGTGTAGTAAAAACTTGGATTTTAAGTTAATTAAGGTTGGCAGATTTGGTCTCACGTGAGGTAGAAACCCTTGAAACAAGTATCATATTCCACTTTTCCTGTTTAATGTTTGCCACTTTGCTCGAGCATCATATTCCAAAGCTTAAGCTAATGATAATGCAGTCCTGTTCATCTGGAAAGTGAAAGGATAAGTTAATATTTGTTAATATTCTCTCTCGTCTCTGTCTCTCTCCCCATTTATCACAACATCATAAGGGTGCATATGTTTTGTTTTAATTATTTAATTCGGATAGACGAATGATGGTATGGTAAACATCAGATAAACACTGGTAATTAGTAACATGTGATTGAGTGAGTCTAATATTTATTATGAACTAGATTCAATGTATCACACTGGTAATTAAGTTTATGAGAAGTATATCATAATTTTTGTAACTGGTATCTTCTGCCGGAGCACCCGAAGACCACTATAAAATGACTCTTCAAATATAGTCCTAAGACATACTTTTTTTTCTTTGAAAGACATACTCTAATGACATATGCCACCTTAATAAAGTGAATATTCTCTTATTAAACCGAATATTACAAGAACAATGTTATATAGATTTATCTTATCAGCTAGGAACTTTCAAAAATGGATAGTTACAAGTTTTACATGGCTATGAACTTACTAAAACTAATGAATTTTGTCGAACAAACATTAGACATGATTTTTGTTGGAATCAAACATGAGTATCTTTGGCTCTCGGATCTAATAATTATAGGAAGAAGTTATCGATATTCTTGTCAGCCCGACGTTGTCCGAACTCGTGTGCACAGGGTTGCCCAGGATGCTTCCAAGGTGAAAATATCGAGCTCTCGAGATGCCATCTACATGAAAACTGAGGTTAGAAGATGTTTCTCGACTCGATTCATCTTATTCCCAATTTAGTAACCCAAGATAAGTGAGTGTAAATGCGAGTGGTAAAAAAGTGATATACTCTTTCACCATATTGAAGATGAGCTTTTATCCATGTGAGCGACAAGGAGGATAGTTTATAACTACATGTCTTAGACCTTTATCTATATGGGCAAATAATGGATGATGACATTTGTCTTCTCCTTTCACCCTGGACATCACGTATATGTCATATGTCGAGTGATCACTAGCTAACAATGCTCTCCTTATCATTTATCCCCCTCCCCTCACAAGATGTGCTTCAAGGGCTCTTGCAAGATGGATCCAAATTATGATATATAATTCATCCAACATATTGAGCTTAGACCTCCTCAACTATTTTTAACTTTGAGCATTTGGTAGATGTTGACAGGGTCAGGAGGTGTCCGATCTGTGCTTTGAATTGATGACCGTGTCCCTCTATAAACGATTGCTCCTCGTCAATAGGTCATCCTCAATAGTAAATCAATCATTGTCGACGTGAATTCGCCCCTCCTTCGTGCATGGAGTACGACAATGATGAGGATCAATTTCATGATCTATGTGGCTAGACAATGATGAGAAGGGAGGGTCGGGTGCCCGACCTCCATATCTTGGGTCGAGTAAGGGGTCAGGTTTCCCAACCTCCATGCCTCGGGCGAAAGGGATTAGGTTTTCTGACCCCCCTAGTTCAGTGAGGATTACAGGCAATGGGTGCAAGGGCTACTATCGGGTTTCCTAACCTCCACGCCTTGGGAGGGGCTAGCTCGATGAGGACCGCAATGAGGGGTGCTAGTGATGCTAGCGATGGTCCATCACTAACCTATCCCTCCCCTTATACTTGCCATTTAGGTAGGCTGTGAGATGAGTCGAGGTAGGCTTTAAGCGGTGCAAACGTGGGCTCTTCCTCTGCTCATCCCCATGGGACCCATGTTGGGCAACGAGTCCAGAGTGAGGATGCTTCGAAGCCTCTAGTTACTTACTTGCCCTTATTCTTTCGCTCACCGTAAGGTGGGCCATGAGGGGGGGGGGGGAGGGGGGGGGTGTGTTATAGGTGGTGCGGTGGTGGGCTCCTCCTATACTCATCCTTGAGGGACACATGTCGGATAATAGGTCCATAATGAGAATGCTGTGAAGCTCCTTGTAGTTGACTTGCCCCCCCCCTTTTTTTTTTTTTTTTCATGGGCTTCTATTCTAATGAGCAATATTGGACAGTGGACTATGCACATCAAGTAAAGGAAGGGTCAAATACTCAACCTCCAATTTCCAGTGTAAATTTAACATAAAAAGATTGCCATGTACTTTTGGATTCAGTGTTTTGTGACATTAATTTCGTATAAATCAGTACCATTTACAGAAGAAAATTTTAAAAAGCATCATTTGTTTCTTTCGTTATTTCGAACTTACTTTGGCAGTTGAATTGACTACGGTTCGCAAGAAATAAAAGCCAGGAGAAACCGGATGAACCTCTGCGGTGGCTACAGCATTCGTGTCATACGAGGTGGCATGTACACGTGGTGGATAAGTGGGTAAAGAACCACCCTATACGACGATCTGATTGAAGAGATTGATTGTGGACCCACCTTACGCCTGACGCGATGCAACGGAGAAGTGCGATCGTTCGTGGTGCGTTCAGCGCCAGGTCAGTAACCCATAAGCTTTTGTTGCGTCTCTCTCTGTCGCGGCTACCTGCCTCTCAATTGGGTGGACTTTTCTGGGTCCCACTGATTAAACGTACCACCCCGTCGATGGGTCGATAAGGCATTGCTCTACTAAGATTTAGTCACTACTCCGTGGAATCACAGCTTGCCACCTCCGCCTCCTAGTCTGACGCACCACACGCCGCACGTGTTTCACAAAGTGCAATAATTCGCTGACCGGTGGTCCACTACCTGACGAATACCCGCTCTGTGGTTGGATATAGTAAGCTAGAATCCGTTGACACCACGAGCTGTAAGACAGGTGACAAAATGGGTAACTTGACAACGAGTACCCAGAAGTATTGCCGTTTCACGAAACCGCTAGCCACGTTGATGCCCCCCACCTTGGTCTAATTACTCGTCTCGCGATCAACGACCCACTCGGCAGTCGTTCTCCACTCGGATCCCGTGTCCCACCGTCCACCTGGGCGTTTCACCCAATGGACGGCAGGATATCGGACGCGTCAGAATCAGAAGCCATTCCACACACCCGCGTAAGCCGCGGTTGGCGTCCTTTTGGTCTCCGCCCTTTCCCCGAATGAGAATGATTCGACCCAACCGCGTTCACGCGACCCTCCTTCCCCACAACCTATAAATTAGCTCCGCCTTCACATTCATTCCCATCCATCATTCCCAAGTCCACCAAATCAGAAAGTACTCTCGACCGGGGGAGCAGCGGCAAGAAACCCCGCCGACAGTGGAACCATTCATGACCGCTAACCAAACTCCTGCACGCTTCCCCTCCCCCGCCACCGCTTTCGACGACGACCTCTTCTCCTACTACTTCTCCTTCTTCCACGACACTGCCGCCGCCTCCGACCCTCAACCATCTTCCGCTCTTCCCTCGCCCATGGAACCCAACCCCAACAAGCGCCCGCGGGAGGATGACCTATCCCCCAGCCGGCTCGTCGCCTTGAAGCCCTCCTCCTCCTCCTCTTCCCCTCCTCCCGTCGACGACGACGCCGCGGAGCAGGAAGAGGCGCAGGCGGTGCCTCCAACGGTGCAGCCTGGGCACCGCCGTCTCTGGGTCAAGGACCGGTCCAGTGACTGGTGGGACTATTACAACCACCCGGACCTCCCGGAGGACGAGTTCCGACGCGCCTTCCGTATGTGTCGCGCTACCTTCGACTTCCTCTGCGATGAGCTCGGCTCCGCCGTAGCCAAGGAGGACACGGCGCTCCGCGCCGCCATCCCCGTCCGGCAGCGGGTTGCCGTTTGCGTGTGGCGACTTGCCACTGGCGAGCCTCTCCGGCTCGTCTCCCGGCGGTTCGGCCTCGGTATCTCCACCTGTCATAAGCTCGTTCTCGAAGTCTGCACCGCCATCCGGAACGTTCTCTTGCCGCGATTGCTCCTCTGGCCCGCCCCATCCGAAGCAGCCTCCGCAGCCGCGCGCTTCGAGGCTCTCTCCGGCATCCCCAACGTCGTCGGCGCCATGTACACAACCCACATCCCCATCATCGCCCCCAAGGAGAGCGCCGCCACCTACTTCAACCGCCGCCACACCGAGCGCAACCAGAAGACCTCCTACACCGTCACCATCCAAGGCGTCGTCGACCCCGACGGCGTCTTCACCGACGTCTGCATCGGGTGGCCCGGGTCGATGCCGGACGACCAAGTGCTCGAGAAATCGGCGCTGTTTGAGCGCGCCAA